AGCAGGAATTCACAGCAGCAGGGTATTGTGCAGCTTACTGTCTGTGAATTTGGTATAACCCAAGCAATTTGGGACACAAGAGCATATGCTGCAAGCTGAGGTCATCCTCTGCTTTTGATCTCAGGTTAACTTTGCTCTTGCACTCTCTGGGGTTTGTTTTGAGTTTCATACTCACCTTCCTCTGAAAATAGTAAATTCTGACCATCATTCAGCCAAAGCCAAAACCACCCTCGTCCTCAGGCCCGAAGGACCGGGCTGGAGGGAGGGCAAGCGGCAGGGAGGGAGGGAACAGGGACCAGGCTGACCTCTTTTTCCATGAGAGCTGACCGGTGGGAGCGAAGCCAACCTGAGTGCTTCTGAAAGCTGCCTGCTGTCCTTCTCACTTTCAGAAACCCTCCCTGCTCTCAGGAGGGGGAGACAGCTCTTGGGGCAGCTTTTCTCCAGGTTGGGTGAAGCTGGAGGCCGTGCAGTCAGGAAGGATTTCAGTGCAGTCAGGCTGGGGCTGGGGAGACTGGACCTCTGCCTGTAACTTGACTCCTGGTCTTCCCACGGTTAAATCATGGTATTGAGTAACACCAGAAGTATGCCAGCCAGTGACCAAGGACCAGGAGATAGGGCTGGTTTCTAGCTCCAGCTTAGCCCTGACCTGTTTTGTGATGTTGGGAGACTTGCCCTACCCTGTGTGCCTATTTCCCCTCTTATCCCTGACAGTTTTCCCAGGTAACTCCTTGTTTAGCTAGGCACAGTGACAAAATGCAGAGGGGCTATGGTTCTGGTGGCAGGGACTGTCATTTCTGAGGCAGCACTGAAAAGATTGAGGATCACAGTGGGACCTGAGCAGATCCTGTCCTTGGCTGGAACTCCACTCCTTCCTATTTCCAACCAAGGAAAGCTACACTATGTCGGTGGAAATGCTGCTGAAGATGGCTCCTATAGCACAATGCAGGGACAGACTATGGAAGAAAAGGGTGCTGCCCAGTTTTGGGGCACGGCCATTGTAAAGGATGTCCTGGCGGCGCTCCAGGTTTGAAAATCCTCGTTGCCGTAGTGGGTGTTTTTCAGCTGAGCTTTCAGACACATCACGTCTCTTGGGTTTTGTAAATATTTCAACAGCGTTTTGAAGTTCCAACGAAAACAGAGAAAACCTTTGATATCTACAGACCCCTTATCCCACCTTACTCCTCACCCCATACTTTTCAGCAACATTTCAGTATTCACTGAGGCCCAAGGGACCCAAGGTGCAAAAGCTTGGGCCCACTGAAGTTAAAGCAAACCTTTCCCTGGTCAGAGTGAGGCTAGACTCATGCTGAAGTAAGTCACATAAAGCAATTTTACATTCTCTGTTTCCCTCTCTCTCTTGAAAAAAAAGAATCTGATTAGAAAATCAGAACCTCTTTTGTTTCAGAAAACCCAAAAGTTTTGGAAACATGTAAATCAATCAAAAATCAGGATGAAAAGAGCAATATGTGTAAGAAATTAAGTTTTTTTGTTATTCATTTATTTTTGCAGGAAGGGTTGCCTTGGGCATTAATCCATGTCAGAGAACCAAACTGGTTATTTTTGACTGCTGGGCTGGAAGTCCCTGTGTCATTGAAGCAGTATTAACAAAAGCCTTCTGGGTAGATAGGCATGGATTTGCCATATTGGTTTTGTGAACAGAAAATTTGATTTTTTCAACCAAATTATTAATCTTTTGTTGAAAATACCTGTTTTGTAACATGTGTATTTTACGAACATTAATCACTCCAGGGAAAATTCCTATCCAGCAAGCCTATTCAATGTGCTACTTGATTTTCCTTCTTTGTGTTTTGTTTCCCAAACATAAACACTAATAATAACTTCTGGGGCACCCAGGGAGGCTCCTAAGTTTAATAAAGACTATGTTGTGAGTCTTTGTCATGATACATTTCTGCTTGTTTCAAAATACAGTGGAAAACAAGTGAGGGCAAAGAACGCACTGAAACAAATTGGGGATTTCTGCATTACCTCTACGGGTGTTCAAAGGGGAGAATACTCTGCCTGCTAAACTTTGATTCCAGCAGACACACTAGTATACACGCATGATTTCTAGTCTGTTTTACTCTCTATTTTCTCTCTCCTACCCTATCTTTTTCCTTCCCTATCTTTCTTAGTATTTTGTCAATGTTCTGTTTATGAGTACCTATTTTCTTTTTTTCTTTTAATTGCTAGGATGAATTTTATGTCCTTTTTCGTCCTCCTTTTTCAATTCCCTTTATCTTCCCATCCCCATTTCTCTTCCTTTTTCTCCTAGTTCTGTCTTTCTCTGTGGGAGCTCACCCTTATCCCTGATTTAGTGTGATAACAGAAAAAAAACCCCTTGTTTTCAGATGCTCCTGTCTGTCTCAGGACAAACAATACCCTAGGCCAGCTCCTGACAAAACATAGCCCTTTTGTTTGGCATGTGCTGGCTCACCCCAGCTGAATGAAATGGCTTTGTTTTAGGTGTAGTTCATACGTCGGGGCTGCCTGGCAGGTGCATCTTACAGCCAGTGTCAACCAGCAGTAAATTCTATAATTACAGGTCATGGAGGTGGAGCTCTCCTTTGATGTGACTTTTTCTGTTGTTGCAAGCGGATACAATTTGACTGAGATATCAAATGCAGATAGCAGTAAAAATTTCATTAACGAATCAAAGCTTTTATCTGGGGTTTTAGAACTCAAGCCAACAGGTTTCTTCAATCTAAAGAAATTACAGAGATGGAGGGGTGAAGGCAGTGCCTTTGTAGTGTATACAGCTTACGACCTTTTTTATGATGCTTGCAAAGATAAAGCTTTTTTAGCTGTTTGTTAGTTTTCCCTTCGGAGAAGCTTTTAGATCTTCCCCAAAAGCAAGGATATTGTTCATTGTATGCTTAATTTTCATCATTTTAACTCCTCAGTGTGCACGCATTTTGTCTTGTGGTGCTGTGGATTGCTTAGCAGGAGAAGATGGAGCGAGCTCGCACTCGCCTTCCTGCAGTTGGGGCTTCACAGAGTGCCCCAGCACTCCGAATTCATGTGCTGGCTTATTCCTCTTGTGGTGAGCCAGACAGTGGTGGTATCCGTTGGCCTGACCTGTGGGATGTTTCAATTCTTCCGTTATCGACTTACCGTCTCAACAGTGGAAGCCTGATTGAAATGAGGCTGAAACTTCACTCTTAGCTTCTTCATCTGTAAGTGGAGAAGACGCTCTTTGCTTTCAGTGCTTTCTAGGGATGCTGTCATGATCAGAGCAGCCAGATCCACACACTGACTGCCTTAGTCATGCCACTCATTCTGCTGGTAAGGGGGAGCTGGGAGAGCAGCAGCCTGCCTGTTATGTGTTGCGTGTGTGATTACAGCTGTCTGTGAACTGAAAGAAATGCAAATATACAAGGAAATCATAATTCAAAAAAATCCACACACCCAGTGCCACCTTTGCTAGAAGCCATGTGTCAGAGCACCCCAAAAGTGCATAATGAGTGACATATGGATAACCAGTGGAGGCTGCACTCTTTATCTCAATAAATGCAAGACAATTACGTTTATTGAGATAGAGAGTGCAGCCTCCACTGGTTATCCATATGTCACTCATTATATGCTTTTTTGGCAACTGTCTTGCATTTGTGGGTCAGCTGTTACTCAGAAATTATTTCTGAGGATGTTTACGGACCAAAGTTATAAAATGCTGCAGAAAAGATTAAAAAGGAACCCTGTGACCAAAAGAAAAATTATCATCTCAGGTATTCACCGTGACACTCTGTATGTGAGTTTTCAAGACTGAGAAATGCTTCAGATGAATGCACCCTACCCTGCAGAGACCAGAGACAGATCTGTGAGTCTGTGGAGGTGAATTGTCATACATACACTACTCATGTCTTTTTCAGTGCATCTGGGATTGGCCCAGGCGTTTCTGCAAATGTGCACACAAAGATCCTAGTTCAGGAAACATATACCAGTATCAGATAGAACTTAGTACAGAAGCACTTAACCATAGTCTTAAGGACCTTCCTGAAATGGAGCCAGAGAACCTGAGCCAAAGACTTCTGGAATCAACGCAGCACCACGAACTCATGCTCACGTAAATGTACACTTAGAGGCACTAGTCTATAATTTTAATGTACAGCTTTGGATTTCTGACTTGACTTCCAGTGGGACTACTGAAATAAAATCCTATGGAGGACAATGAAAAGGGCCAAGTCTTCTAGTGAATTTAAAGTGCTGGGCATTCATAGTAAAGTTACGCAATTCTAAAGTATAAACTGTCAAGCTACCACTGTTGCAAAAGCATCAAAAGCTTTCCAAAGCTGTAGCAGGAGTCAAAAGTGAAACAGAGAAAAAGTGAGGAAAAGAAAGAAAGAAAGAAAGAAAGAAAGAAAGAAAGAAAGAAAGAAAGAAAGAAAGAAAGAAAGAAAGAAAGAAAGAAAGAAAGAAAGAAAGAAAGAAAGAAAGAAAGAAAGAGAAAGGGAAAGAAAGGAAGGAAGGAAGGAAGGAAGGAGGAAAGGAAGAAAGGAAGAAAGGAAGAAAGGAAGAAAGAAAGAAAGAAAGAAAGAAAGAAAGAAAGAAAGAAAGAAAGAAAGAAAGAAAGAAAGAAAGAAAGAAAGAAAGAGAAAGGGAAGATTCGCCATCCTTGTGTTTAAAGTACCCAAATTAACATCTTGACATTTGCATCACTTATTTTGGTTCTTTGATGGAAGTACTCTGTTAGCACACTTTAAAGCCCCAGAGATCACCTCACAGGGCTAAGAAAAAAGGAGGAAAGAGTTCAAAGTGAATAATTACCTGTTGATGATGTATTATATTTAAAGACTCTGGCTGTGGATTAAAGCTAGTTCTAGGGTTGTTAATAGCCTGCAGTAAACAACTAATGAATCAAAGAAAAGGAGCAAAAAGCAGCTACAGTTGAAGGACATTCCCATTAATACCAAAGGCCAAAGCTGAAGTGTTAAGTGTAACATAATAAAATACAGTCATTTCACACTAGAGTGTATAAGAATTTAGAAAAATGGTCACAAGTGAATTATTAGGGATTGTCCTTAGATCTTTGTTCTCAAAACACTTTGATCCCATACACAGTACCAAGTTTCCCACTGCTCTGTGTTTTCTGCAGTTTACCTGCAATTTTTATGTGGTGTAATGAAGAGAATAGATTTGCGTGTGAAGAGCTATACCTACAGCAGTGGTGGAAACAGTGTGCTTCTAGAGAGGAGAAATAAAAGGTCAAAGGAGGAGGCACAAAGCAGGAAATGGAGAGAGAACAGCAGAAAACTGTGCAGAATAAAGTGGGTGTCTATGGGGATCTTTCTGGTCTTGAATTCTTGAAAATCTTAATAAAATAGGAAAATGAGTGATTTAAAGGGGTAGTTGGGGGAAACAATCTCAACATGCTTTAGCTAAGTAGTTGCCAGCAGTGCTTCAATCTGTGGTCTTTCGGTCATGGCCCATCTTCTTCCCACCAGAGCAACACCTTTTAAGCTACTGGTAGTCCTCACATGAGCAAGGGTGGAGGGTCCCTGTTTTGTACAAAATGGAGCCCTAATCTGAGGCATTTTAAAAGACAGAGTGTTATTATTGCTTAAATGTGTGGGAACTGCGGTTATTTGTGAATCCTGAACTTTTCAGGGCAGTACACTTTTTCTCTTCAAAAATTATTTTGGGAGAAATAAAACACAGCAAAACACTGCAAGTCTGCAGTTCATTACGTTGACATATACGGCATGGTGCTAAATGACCTTTCATTTCTTGTCAGACCCAAGCTTTTAAGGCTGCTAGATCTTCTCAGGGTTCATACGTGGGGTTAGGAATTGACTGAAAATCTAAAAATAAGTGAAAGCAAGATGTGGGTGATACACATGCACTGGGGAGTTAGTAGGTATTTCCAATGAGACTGATTATTTTTAAAGCTTAAGAATTAATACATTTCAGGAAGAAAACAAAAACCAGCAAGAAACCACTACCAGACAAAGCCAATGATGCCCTAGGAGTGACCTACAGATAATCCCTCTCTTTCTGCACTTTGTGGTGGATTGGGGTAATAGTGCACCT